AAAGACGAAGGAAAACTTGAAATCGCATCATATGACCCCTTTAATAAGTGCATTTTAGTTCCGTTGTACGAACATATTTGTATAACAGACAATGCGTATTGACCTCAGATCTTGCGGTATCATGTATTTTAAGCGTATCGTCTAATGTGTTTACGATCATATAAGCATGTTCACGGCCCCATTGAGCTAAAGGTGACTCGGATTCGTGCAGCATGAATCATACATTATTCCCTTCTAGCTTTTTTCCTTCTGAATAGACAGTTGCTGTAGAGGCAAAACACGAAGCGTCAACACGACTGAATTAGATCATTCAAACCGGCGTGCAATTGATGGGAACTAAATTGATGTCTTTTATTATCTGTGACGAAGGTCTTTCTAAGCATTTAACGTACAGAGAGTGACAGAGAAAGAAAAGGACAGTATTTCTAGCTCATTGTTTGAGTTTGATGTGTTTTGGTAAGAGTTAGTTGGCAAAGGTTAGCGGCGCCCGTACTAAACCCCTCTGGCGTCCCTTTGCAGGGCTGAATGTGTGTTATTCTTTACAGTTCACTTATTGAGTGACCCTGTGCATGAACACACACACACACTATGCTCCATTTCACTAAAAGGACAGCTGCTGACATTGACTGCTTTTCAAACACACGCGACCAGCGTTCAGACAGACTACAGACATTAGGTCCAGCCCTTGCTTGATTAGGTTTAAGTGAAAATTTGTAAGCTTAATATATACTATTTTTTATTAAAAGCAATAATGCACTTAGGTCATGCTGTATTGTGAATATATAGCACACATTCCATATTTTTGACAGTATAGTGAGCCAATTCATTTATGCGTGTTTTGTGCTGTTCTGTGTAGTTGTTGACACATTTATTAAGATCCGTTGTCGTTCTGTTTGTCGTACATTTGAATGTAAAGTAAATTGCTGTTATTTTGTGTATAGCATTATGTCAGCTATTTAACTAACTTTAACTTTGCTCCTCAACATTTCTTAACTCCATGACAGTATCTGAGCGTAGAAACTGATTGTAGAAGAAGACAGTTCATGCAAAAGCCCCCTGTTGGCATTGCTGAGAATGCAACATGCACTTATATACAGGTGCATCTCAATAAATTAGAATGTCGTGCAAAAGTTCATTTATTTCAGTAATTCAACTCAAATTGTGAAACTCGTGTATTAAATAAATTCAATGCACACAGACTGAAGTAGTTTAAGTCTTTGGTTCTTTTAATTCACAGCGACATGAGAAAATGAACTTGCAAAGCCTTTGCATTTTCATACTTTTGTAGAGTTTTTTGGGCCTTAATTTTATGGGTAAATTATTTACATTTCTGTCATTCATTTAAAATTATTTACGTTTTTTGTCATTTTACTGTCTTTGTTGATTATCATGACATTTTGTATTGACATTGCAGTTAAAAAACATGAAAAAAGTAAAAAAAAATAATAATAATATTGCAAAATATATTTTTAATGTTACAATATATATTAATTGATTTAATTTTCTGTCATTTATATAAATTGATTTTACTGTCTATAATTATCTTGGCATTTTATTGTCATCTCCTAAAAACCTATAGGTGTGATAAAAAAAAAATTTGTAAAATATTTTATGGTCATTATACCCCTAGTAAAAAAAATACTAAAATTAATTTGAAATACATACATATTTTGCTAAGTATACTACAAATACATTTTCATGTTTAAATACCCTGCAGTTGCACTTTTATTATACCAAACTGGTAAACTTAAAGTCTGCTAAATTGGAACAACTAATTTTGTGCTTAATGCATTTAAGTAGTGCTGAAATATACTTAAGTATATTTGATATTGATAAAGTGTAACTATTGCAAGTATATTTCATGTACACTTTAAATATTTTGCATTAAACACTGATATTATACAGAGATCATACAATCCTTATTAATAGTGATATTAAAGCACATTTTAAGTGTAATATTAAGAAATGTGCATTGTGCAATAAAGAAATATTCCAAATAAAGTTTAATTATAATTTTATATCAGTAAGTCTTAAGTGATATGTCAATAAATATGTAAATTGTTTTGAAGTATACTTACTATGAAATAAATGTATTTTAAATTAATTATGGCATTTTTTTACTAGGGACTATATTTAGTAGCTACTTCCTTGCAGTGACAAAAAAAAAATGTCCCAAAATGTATATTTAATGTTATTTTAATTATAATTATTTACTTTTCTGTCATTTATTTAAAGTTATTTACTTTTCTGGCCATTTTACTGTGTTACTGTGTTTACTGTGATTAACTTGAAATTTTACTGTATGTTGCTGAAAACCTATAGGTGTTAAAAAATATTGCAATATACATTTAATGTTAAAATATATAAATATATATTTAATATTAAAATATATATTGAATCACTTTTCTGTCATTTTTGATTTGACGTTTTACTATGTTGTAGACACTTCTTTGCGGTGACAAACAACATGAAAAACAAATGTTGCTGAAAACCTATATTTATGTCATTATTTATATTATTATTATTATTATTATTTTTACATTATGCTTACACACAGAAACAAACTTTATTTTGTCTAATACAATCAGTCAATAAGCTCAAAGCCTCCGTCATTGTTTTCAGCCAAAACATTGCAGTGACTCATCGTCCGCTTCCGGCCTCGTTTCCTTTCTGCGCTTTGAGTTGTACACCAGAGTAAATTCTATTTATGACGTACAGACACAAAGTTCAAATGATTTGCATCGGTCGCTGCGAGTGCAGTGTAGACACGGTGTCTGTGTGTGAGCAAAGAAAACGATCAATATAAATATAACGATCAATGTACTAAACATCGCACATGTGACTATGCGCACATCGCGATATTGATTCTGAAATTATATATCATGCAGCCCTAGTTTGCTGGCTGTTTTTCTATAATGATTTTTGGATTTTATTGATTTGTATTTTTATTGATTTTATTTGAAGGATTTTGAATTTAAGATTAAAAAAAATATGAGATGAATCCTGTAAGTTGGAGCATGTATTTTTTTAGTGTAATTTATTTATTTATTATATTTTATTCAAGAAATTCATATATATTTCGTTTAGGATTAGGGTTTTGAGTTTAAGATTGAAAAATATGAGACTAATCCTTTAAGATGGAGCATACATTTCTTCAATGTCTTCTCTCTCACTTTTTTTCTTTTGTTGTTATTCTTTTTCTTTTATTTTATTTTATTTTATTTTATTTATTATTACTTTAATACTTAATACTTTCTTATATATAGTTCATGTAGGGTTAGGATTTTGAGCTTTTTATCCACCTTATTCTTCAACGTTTTGCGTTATTACACAAAATTACTGTTTGCATTACAAACCAGTGTGTTCATAATTAAGATAATACATTAAAATAATATGGTAAGACACACCAACTTTCAATATCAAGCAGCAAAACGATATGTTTTGTACAGATAAAAATAACTGGAAGTGAATGAGACCGGAAGCTAGACCCATAGAATTTACAGGGAAGAATAAGGTGGATAGATTAAAGAATAAAAGAATATGAGATGAAACATAATTTTTTTGCATTTGTAGTTAATCATATTTTATTTTTATTTAATTTATTTAATTGAATACTTTCTTATTTGGTTCATTTAGGGTTAGGGTTTGAGCCTTTTATAGATTAAATATGAGAATAATCCTTAAAGCTGAAGCATGTAATTTTTTCAGTGTCCTTTTTTTGTGGCTTTTTTAGTTTAATATTTTTATTTTATTTATTGTAATTAATACTTTAGCTCATGAAGGGTTAGGATTTTGAGCCTTTTATAGATTCAATAATATGAGATGAATATGTTTTTTTTTTTTTTTGCTTTTGTAATTAATAATTTTTATTAATCATATTTTTAATGATTTTAATTAATACTTTCTTAAATAGTTCATGTAGGGTAAGTGTTATGAGCTTTTTTAAAGATTAAAGAACACAAGATTAATCCTTAAAACTGAATTTTTTCAGTGTCCGTTTTTTTTTTTTTTTTTTGTAGTTAATCATTTTTATTTTAGCATAAATGATAGACTAATTTTACGCTGAAATAAAACAAATAACAACATCCATCCACTCTTACCAAAAAAAGTGAGTTTATGTGAAAACATTTGATCAGATCAGACACGATAATACTGTGGTTTAGACCAAATCACACCTGAAATTACACTATGATTTAGAATTACTTTGTTTTATTGTTTAATGTTTAATTGTGTGTCTGCATATATGTGAGTTTAACCGGCATGTCAGTGTGTGTGTTTTGTATGTGGATGTGTGACATTAGTCAGAGGTGGTGTGTGTGTGTGTGTGTGTGTGTTTAACAGTGTGGGACTGTAGACAAGCAGATTAAAATATTAACGAAATAGTTCACCCAAAAAATAAAGACACTTTCATTAATCACCCTCATGTGGTTCACAACCTGTGTTTATTATTATTGTTTGTACAATGACTGTTCATTATAACCACAGCATGTCAAGCTGCTTAAAGGACCAAAACCACCTGCTGATGTGCAATGTTAGCACAGACACGAGGCCAAAATGGACACAATGTTCCTGTTTATGGATGAATGAATGTAGTGTATGTTGCAGTCAGTGCTGTTCAACACATCACACACTCACACAGCACAATATTTCACCTGGAAAAATACAAGACTACAGACATGTCTAAAGAAATTAGGCTTAATTTTTATATCATGTTGACTTTAAAGTAATCAGTTGAAGTTGGATTGAAAATTACTGTGGTTTTTTATCACACAGTGAGCAATAACAATATCTAGTTTTGAAGAAAAGATGATTATGAGCTGTTCTAATCACATTTCTGCACTTCTTTTTCAGTATTTGGGCTGCATTGAAGTTCTCCGGTCCATGAGATCCCTGGACTTCACCACACGATCACAAATCACACGGTAATACAACTCTCTCTGTCTTTCTACAAATTAAAAAATATAACACAGTCACAAACGTTTTAATTTTATTTTGTGCAAGGAATTGTGGGTAATATTAGCTGAAATAGCATGCACAGATGCACACTTCCCATCATAATGGTTAATTTGGTAATATTTTAGTGTATTGCGAATTGCAAATTACTATTAATGAATTACCAATTACTGTTTAGTTTTATGTGAATTGGGATTCAGTTATGCTTTCCATCTAATACAAAAAGTTTCCACAGTTAGTGAAATAAATGATAATATCTTATCTAAATTTAAAGTTATTTATTATTTTAGGTATATTTTTTTAAATTATATTTATCTAAATTTAAAATTATTTATTATTTTAAGTATATTATTATACATATTATTAATACATTTTAAATAAATGAAAAGAAATAGTAGTGTAGTGTATTTAGTTTGTTGCTAAATCTATTTTATATAGAAAAAACTATCAAATTGAGATAAAATTACTGTTTTACCAACTCTGAGTGCAAATATAGATTAATATTATTAATAATCACAAAAGAAAAACATTTAATTATCTGCCCTAATTTTCCTAGGTTTTTATTTTATTTAACAATTTATAAATTTATTATGAAATAAAATTAATTAAAACGAAAAATATTTACAAAAAGGGTACAGATCACTTTGTTTGTTTATTTGTTTGTTTTTTAAATAAAATTATTTATAGAAAATAAAAAAGGGCACAGATAATTGTATTTATATTCATTTACGTTTAATTTGTATTAATTCATTTTTATTTATTTATTTTATTTATTTGTTTGTTTTTTTGTGACTTTAAAATAGTGCTGTCAAACAATCGCATCCAAAATAAAAGTTTTTGTTTACATAATATATGTGTGTATACTGTATATTTATTATGTATATATAAATACACACACATGCATGTATATATTGTAGAAAAATGTAACGTTTATATATTAAACAAATTTATATATGATATAAATGATATGAATATAAATATATACATGTAAATATTTTCAAAATATATGCTGTATGTGTATGTATTTATGTATCAATAATAAATATACACAATACACACACATATATTATGTATAATAACAAAAACGTTTATTTTGGATGCGATTAATCGCGATAAATCGTTTGACAGCACTATTTTAAAACACAGCCTAAGGACTTGATTCGGTTACTTATTTTTGTGAACTAAATAAACCAATTCACTAAAATGATTCGGACTTTCCAATTGTACATATGACACAGAAGACATAGGGGAGAGTGTGATTCAGATGTTGTTTTCTCTATTATATGTTTCTCTTATGTTTATATATTTATAAATATTTATGTTTGTCTGTTGTTTTGCTGCTAAATCACAGTTAATGGCTTTTGTACGCTGCTTTTTAGTTGCTTTACGGTTACATCACAGTTAATGGCCCCGTGTGGCGTTACAGGACTGCTATCAGCTCTTTCATGGCATTTTTATGCTTTTGCTTGATTTGAATCCGCAGCCAAACACTCATTTATTGTTGCTAAAATGAGCGTGTGAGATGTGAATGTGTGCTGATGAGTCATTGCGTAACATCAGATCGGATCCCAGCGGACGCCGCTTGTTTATTGAACGCTGGGCTGTGTGGGCCGCTAGCATTAGCAGCGCTGGAGATGACATGTCATATCCTCTTTTCTGCCTGACTTCCTGCTGTAGTGTTTCACAGGAACACACCAGCCGTTCCCGAGCACTCTCTGGACACAAAGACGGGTCCAGAAACTGAGCTTGAACGTTGAACGATCAACAGGTTTATCTATATTACACCTCAGACATAGTTTTTATTTATTGTGTAAAACATTAAAAGTCGATCAAAATCGATGTGACAAGAACATGTCCAGAAAAAAATAAGGAATTATATTTTATCCAGCTTTTAGGAGCATTCATATTTATTGCATTGTAAAGTTATTTTAATTAAATTTTTTCATTACTGTTATTTTTAAAATTCCCAATTATTGCTATAATGTAAAAAAAAAAAGTATTTATACAGTATGGTAGAATTGGTAGCATTGCATTTATGCGTACTTAATTATGCTTACTTAAATGTACTACAGTAATGAGCGTCTAATGAAAATCAGCATTAATGAGATGAGAATTGTCTAAAAGCATGAAAAGAAAATGGGGAAGATGTGCCTTATTGCTATGAAAAGGAAGTCACAGTGCAAAATAACAGTTTTCTTTCCACTATATGTATGTATATATTTCCTACTGACACACTACAGCAAAAGATAGAAATAACTGACTTAAAACTAACTAGTGTTCTAATCATTTTGGCCACCATATATATGTATATGAAAAATATAATGATCTGCACTCATTTTTCTTAATTCTATTTATATAATATTTTATATTTTGTGTATAGTATTAGTATATTTATGTTATTGTTTATATTTATTAATATCAACCTTCGGCAACCCTGTTCTCTGGATATCGTCATGAACAATAAAAAATTCTAGATTCATATGTGACGATCTTTGGGCCAGATTCACTGAAAGTGATCAAATGGATCCCAGACTGAAGAGTTTTGCTTTGTTGCCAGAATGCCGCTGCAGTGCCACTGTTTTCACACAGCATCTTGACAGTTCGCTGGCTTCTGTACTTCAGAATTACTCACGTCTTCATATTTTTGTCATTTCTCTCGGCAGGGAGGCGATCAGTCTGGTGTGTGAAGCCGTCCCTGGTGCCAAAGGAGCTCTGCGCAAGAGAAAGGTACAGTCAGAGAATGTGTGCAAATATCTTAAAGCAAATAATAAATGCATTTGAACATAAACTTGTTATATTGCAATGCATTTAGCTTTGAAAAAGTCTTAAAAGTACAATATAAAGCCTTGTGAAGTTGGACTTCGAACTTGGAAACCAAAAACTGCACAAGTATGATTTTATGAGGTGATTGTGTGCCTTTGTTATTAAGCATTTTGGCTCATTTGAAAATGCTTTCAGCCACGGTTCTTAACATTTTTGTGCCTTGAAATAAAATAAACATAAAGTGATTTAATATAAAATTATATACTTGTAGTTGCAGAATAAAATAATTATTCAGAAGAACATACTTAATCTTTATTTGAGGAACATGATTTTGGACCGGTGAGATTTCAGTGTGGACAAAGCTATTCAGTTCAGGACAAAAATGAGTGAAATAAATTAAAATAACAGTGCTACAAATTAAATATAAATATAATAAGACTTAATACAATATGAAATAAAATATAAAATGAAATTATTCAGAATATATTTAATCTTAATATAAAATTCCTTAAGTGATTTAAAATTAAATTATTTACTTATTTTATTTCAGCTAGTTGCCAAGCCAACATTTCTCATTTTTGTTTAGTTTGACTCTAAGTACTAAAATAACTAAACCTAAAACTGAAAATAAAATTAATAAAAACTACATACAAAAAAATGTATACAAATAAAATAAAATGAATAAAACAGCAAAATTACTCAAACTTTAACAAAAATTTTGAAAATACCTCAAAATATAAAAATAAAAACAAATTTTAAATATTAATAAAAACTATAATGGCATATCAGTGATACTAAAATAACATTGCTTTCAGCTACCAGTAAGAGTGTAGTACTCTGATCTCTTTTACCATTCTTATATCCAATCCACATACTTCTGCATATTTACCCTAACAAATCAGCACAGAAAATGTGAAAAAAGTCTGCAGATTTGCCTTAACCTGAGCAATTATTGTTTTCCATGAAACCTGACCGTTTTCTAAGACAACAATGTGAATGAAGCAAATTGAGTTACATTGAATTTAATTAAAAAACACCAGAGACGAGCAGAGATAGAGAGAGCTATAGATTATTGCACATGACAACAGGAAGTGGTCAGAGGGGGAGGTTATTGATGCAGATGGAGAAATATAAGACGGAAAAGGAGGAATAAATAAGGAAAAGACTAAAAGAGGAGCATTAGAAGGTTTGGAGTGAGATAAAGACGGTTAGAGATCAAATAAAGGCTGGAGAAAGAGAAATGGCGTGCTGCAGTGTGTGTGTGTGTGTGTGTGGGCATACTGTTAGCACGGTGACTCATTCTGTACTGAGCAGCAGTAATCAGCCCTCCTGCCTCCTGCTGTGTGTGTGTGTGTGTGTGATGCACGTTTGCAGCCGTGGAAAGGGACGTGTGCGTGCGGATTTTAGGAAAGCTTTAAAGCGTGCCGTGCCATGCCGTATGTCCCGATTTAATGACGCAACATTGGATCGATTTAGCAAACAAACACAGAATGATGCATTGCATGCGTGATTTTTATTTTATGAATGTTCTTCCATTTTGTTATATGAATGAAGACTGACTGGAGTGAATTGAATTTCAGTTTCATTTTAGTGTGTTTGGCAAAGCACTGCATTCTAATTGACAAAGCGTTTACAGCTAAATAAATTAGTAAAATAAAGTAAAATAATACTACTACAAATGAAGTCTCAGTATAATGAAAATAAAATAATTTAGAACATATTTAATCTATATTTGTGGAACATGATTTTGGAGCAGTAAGATTTCTCTGTGGACGAAGCTACTATTCAATGCAGAAAAAAAAATTGTCAAATAGATTAAGTAACAATGCAACAAATGAAATATCAATATAATAGAATTAATCAAATATAAAATAAAATTAAAAAATATATATATATTCAGGAAATATTTAATCTTTATTTGTGGAATATGATTTTGGACCAGTAAGATTTCACTGTTCACATTAGCTTCTATTCAATGCAGGACAAAAATTTGTAAAATAAATTGTAAATAAAATGATAAAAGTACAAATTAAACATCATTATAATAAGAATTAACAAAATATTAAATAAAATATTAAAAATAAGAGAAAATAAAATTGCAAAATTATTTAGAACATATTTCATCTTTATTTGCGGAACATGATTTTGGATCAATGAGATTTCGCTGTGGATGAAGCTACAATTCGATGCAGAACAAAAAAATATATTAAAATAAATTAAAATAACAGTACAGCAATAATATAATAAGAATGAGTGAAAAAAAAAAAAAAAAAGTCATTTAGAACATATTTATTTAATCTTAATTTGTGGAACATGATTTTGTGTGGATGAAGCTACGATGTCGATGCAGAACAAATAATTATCAAGCAGTCTAAGAAATAAGCAATCATCAAATTTTGCAAACTTTATCACATGTAAGAAGTTAAGAAGCAATTAAGAAAGCCTGAAGATGAAAACCTGAGCCTGTGTTGCTCTCTTTCAGCCTCCCTCGAAACTCCTCTCCAGTATTCTGGGCAAGAGTAACCTGCAGTTTGCTGGTATGAGTATCAACCTCAACATCTCCACCAGCAGTTTAAACCTGATGACACCGGACTCCAAACAGGTCCAGAAACACACACTTCTCTCCTCTCTCATTCTCAGGATGCAGTGTTCTATTGCAGATGAATGATGCTCCTTCCTGTTTCCACAGATAATAGCCAATCATCACATGCAGTCCATATCCTTTGCCTCCGGTGGAGATCCGGTAAGACTTTACAACATCACACCCGTGATTCGTTCTTCAGCTGACGTTCAGTCTCACCACACTTCATGGCAAATCTTAGAGCGCTCCGAAAAATGAAGCTGTTTAAGACCATATCCAGTAGAACAACTTTAGTGTTTCTGTTAATAAAGGACGGGGCCATAATAAATATGTTCTAGTGGTATTTTATCTTATTTGTAATGTTTTTTACACCAAAAGCTGTGCAAGTTAGCTTTTAGCGATTATTTATTACCACCATTATTTTCACTAAATAAGCTACCTTTAAGACTTGTGTTCATTAATTACTTCATTATTGGCTAGTTTCTGCATACTTGTTTTTTATCAGGTTGCTGAATATTAAATAGATGTTGATATGTAAATATGGTTGGTCATATGCTAATGAGCTCATAGGTGTGATGCCACAATCATGACAGTTTCACAAATTAGTAATTCAGTTCAGTTCAGTAGATTTATTTCAGTCCTCATACACTATTCCAAACAATTATACGTAATTTTACATATTAACCCGAAAAAGGTCAGTTTTTCAGTTTTTAATGTGTGAATGTGGGCGGTCATATGTTAATAAGATGTGACGTCATTATCATCTCAGTTTCAAAAATTAGTAATTTTTGTTGTTTGTAATGTGTAAATTTGGGTGGTCATATGATAAAGAGCTCATAGATGCAATTTCATAATCATGACAATTTCATGAATGAGTCAGTTTTGCAGTTTTTAGTATGTTAATGTACAGTGCCCTCCACTAATATTGGCACCCTTGGTAAATATGAGCAGAGGCCGCTTTGAAAATAAATCTGCAATGTTTATCCTTTTGATCTTTCATTCATAAAATTCACAAAATTCTAACCTATCACTGAAGTAAAACTATGGAAAGTGGGGGAAAATGGGTCAGTTTTGCAATTTTTAATATGTAAATGTGGGTGGTCATCTGTTAATGAGCTCATGGTTGTGGTGTAAAAATATGTCAGTTTCATGAATAAGTTGTATTTGCAGTTTTTAATGTGTAAATGTAGGCGGTCATATGTTAATGAGCTCTTAGAGGTGATGTCATAATGACAATTTCATATATTAGTCATTATTGTTTTGATTGTGATTTCATGAATGAGTCAGTTTTTCGTGTAAATGTCATAATCATGACATGTTCTGGTCTTTCAATATTAAAGTATGGATGGTTATATGTTAATGAGCTCATAGATGTGATGTCATCATGACCGTTGACAAATGAGTCATTTTTGTAGTCCAGTTTCAATAATTAGAGGATGAGTTGTGAATTTCAACGTGCGTAATACATCAAACTCATTTCAAAAGTGCAAGAAATTTCCTGTTTGCCATTATGTGACAGCTTTAAAAAAACATGCTCATAAAAGCATGTAGAAGTGGAATTAGCTCAGTTTAGCTTTGAATCATTCTCTGTGTCTTCTGTCAACAGGACACGACTGATTACGTCGCTTATGTGGCGAAAGATCCTGTTAACCGGAGAGGTATTACTCCCGTCTTTTTCTCTGCTGCATGCTCTGATGATTTGCATGTCATTTTTTGGATGTTAAAATACTTTCCAACTATAAGTAATCCTTTCTTAGGTTGACTTCTTAAAGGAATAGTTCACCCAAAAATGAACATTTGCTAATATTTCCTCACCCTCAGGTCATCCAAGATGTAGATGAGTTTGTGGTAACACTTTCTATGAAGCCCGTATGTATAATACATTATAAGGGTATTCTTAAGGCATTATAATGAATGCATAATGCATTATAAAAAAACTTATAATATGTTATATCAACTCATGAATAATCATAACAACAGTTATAATACATCATAATACTTACGTATTTGTGGTTATAAGTTTATGATTATTTATAACACACAATGAACACCATATAAAATCTATTTTTACATTTATAATGGACTATATATCCTGACATTGTTTATTTAAGATCTGCACAGTATCTTACTACAGCTTGTGTAAGATACTGTGTTAGATGTTGAGTGTTTCCTGTGGAGCTAATGTTAATTAACTGATGTGAGCTTTATACTCCAACTGAAAAAAATGCAATGTTTTATATGGTTACATTTTATTTTGATGGTCCCCTTAATCAATCGACTATAAGCAACTTTGCAACTACATGCCAACTAACTCTCATTAGAGTATTAGTATGCTCAAGAATGGTAGAATAGTATGGTAGAATAAGTTGACGTACTTGCAAAGACACTTATAGTCAGTTTATCTGTTGGTTGACCATCAAAATAAAGTGTTAGCAAATATTTACAGTAGCAGACATACTAATACTCTAATGACCGCTAGTTGATATGTAGTTGCAGAGTCACTTATCAACAGCTGTTTAAAGGGTACCATCAAAATAATCAAACTGATATTACAATAAAAACAGTTCAAAGCAAATGTGTCATATTACACATTCATCTGATCTGATATCTGATCTTATGGCTGTTTGAGAGAAAAAAATATTATTATTATTATTATTATTACTACTACTTATAAGTGGTCTTTGACCGCTTTAAGTAAAGTAGCATAAGAAAAATGGCAAGATATGAGACTTATAATACATTATAACTATGAGAAATATAATCCATTGTAAAAGTGGATGCAACGTGTTCATTGTGTTATAAATCATCATACTCTTAAAAGCTATAACCACAAATAAGTAAATATTATAATACAGGTGCATCTCAATAAATTAGAATGTCGTGGAAAAGTTCATTTATTTCAGTAATTCAACTCAAATTGTGAAACTCGTGTATTAAATAAATTCAATGCACACAGACTGAAGTAGTTTAAGTCTTTGGTTCTTTTAATTGTGATG